GCCCCCCCCCCCCCCCCCCCCCCCCCCCCCGAAATGTGAGGCGACTCGGGCATAATATGGTGGTCATGTGGAGATTCATTATTAATCGTGACGCCTTTTCGATCGAAGCTCGATGACTCTTGTGAGTCGGTCGGCCGAGTGATGCCATCGCCGACGAAAGGCGAGCAATTTTTAGTCCATCTTGAAGTTGGCGATTGCGTTGGGTAAGCTTTCACGAGGAGACCAAGTTTTCTCGTCCCATCCGTTCAAATTGATATGAAATTTTTTTAAATCGCCCGTCCCGTCGTCGGTTCCGGAAACTCCGGCTCGCATCCCACCGAGATCATTCTGCACGCAAGAAACAAAGCCATTTCCTCTCGATCATATTTGTATTTCGTTTACGGCTCGAAGATTTTAATCATTTCCAAGAGCCTGTTAAAGAGAAATTCCTTGACGTCGATCCCCCAAAGGAAGTCCAGATGATTCCAGGCGTCAAAGGGAACCCGGTAATTATCGATCAGGCTCGGTAATTCGCTCGCCAACCATACAACGTCCTGGAAAACCGAATGAGGCATGGATGAGACATGGATGAGGCACGGATGAGTCAATAAAATAAAAAAAAGGAAAGCGACGGAAAAATGCGGAGAACGAACTTCGGGGTCGGCGAGCCAGTCGTTATCGCCGTAGTAGAGGAAGACCGGCGTGTTGACCTTGGTCAGGTCATACTCGGGAGGTTGCTCTTGGCCGTAGTGTTCCAAATTTCCTTCTCGCCCCCAATTGAAGTGCTGGAATCTTTCAGAGTTCACCAGCTGGGCGAAGTGGACGACGTTTTGCGTGGACGTCCCCGCTGGGTTGTGGGCCACGATCATTGGAATCAGCGCCTATGGAGTTTCCAAATTTCTCAAAATTCAGCAGGGGAAAAAAAATTTTTTTTAAACGACATTTCCAGGGCTCAAATTTATTTTCAACGGAGTCTTTGATTACGTCATGGCTTATATTATTATTACATCGGAAGAAATCCTGATCGCCGTTCGCGCTCACCTCGTCCATCTGCGCTTCGTCGAAGCCGCAGAGAAGGAAAATGACGGATTCGCATATGAATTGACTCCAGTCCTCGGTGCAGATGAAGGCGGCCAAGAAATCCATGAAGGCGGAGCTCGGCATGAATTCGTGCAAGCCGAGCATCTCCAGCAACCACTTTTTTGTTGTTGATTAGACGATCCATCACCGCGCATGCAACAGAGGGAATCCTTTATTTTTTTTGTAAGCATAAATTCATAGATTTTTTTTTATTTATTTCCATATTTATCATGCAAGAGCCCTCGCAATGCCCCTTTCACTCGCGGCCGTCGAACAAAAAGGCCTCGAAGGCCTCACTTCCTTCTCCACCCAACTTAATGGGACGAATTTCCCGCCTCGAATACGAAATCGCCGACGGAGAAAAGCCGGAAAAAAAGGACTTCCTCGTGAACCAGATGGACTTCAAAGCGTTTCGTTTGACTTTGGGGAACGGAAACGAAAATGATTCATGCAGGGAGAGAAAATGAATTTTGCATGGGATACATTATATAATAATGACATATAGAAGTGTGTGAAAGGAAGATAGCTTTTTTTGGTCTTTCATCTCCAGAGAACTCTCCAGAGAGAGAGCGAAGAGGGAGAGGAAGGGAGAGTGAGAGAGAGAGAGAGGAGGAGGGGGGGGGGGGGGGGGGGGAGAGAGAGGGGGNAGGGAGAGGAAGGGAGAGTGAGAGAGAGAGAGAGGAGGAGGGGGGGGGGGGTGGGGGAGAGAGAGAGGAGGAAGGGAGAGAGTGAGAGAGAGAGAGAGAGAGAGAGGGAAACCTTTTTGGACCATCTCCCGATCTCCTTTTCAACTGTAGATTTGATTATCCACCATATCCGTTGTTTTGCGACTCTACTCTGCTTCGGCTGCCAGGTTCACTTTAAACAAATAGTCTCGCATTCGATGAAGAACTCAGGTGAGCATGATGCATCCTCGGGAATTCCGATCCTCTTTCGCTCCTTTCCCATCGGAGTTTATTATTATTATTTCCCATCGGCTTTTATTTCTAAATTTGGAATCGACCCGACTCAGCCTCGAATCGAGATCGGAGTTCCGAGGAATACATTTTCCGTGCAGGTGTGCTATTTCCAGGATCGGGCAAAACAGTTTTGCATGCCGATTAGTTTTCCACCCCCGAAAAAAGGATTTTCACCGAAATCAATTGGTAGATCTGTTCTCGCAGAGCCTCGCGTTCACAGCTGCGAGATGGCAAAATCATTTCCCCATTAATTTCAGCCATTCTCTTTGCAGAAAAACGTGGCAGTGCACCAATCCAATTTCTTCTGCATCTTTAATCCCCTCTTTCGCATCACGAATTGAATCCAGACCGAATTCAAGTAAATTTTAAATATATATATTTTCTGCTCTGACCTGGATTTGATCTGCAAAGGGAGCGATGAGTCGAATGGGACTGGTCATGTGATGAACCTTGGCAACCGGGCCCATCCCGTGCATGCTCAGGATATGGTCTCGATATTCGGGTCGCATGTCGCTCATGACCCAAAACACGATCGTTCCCATGCTGTGTCCGACGTAATGGAGTTTGTCCTGGCCGGTCGTCTGCAGGATCTCGTCCAGCATCGCCGGCACGTCGAACTCTCCCATCTGATCCCAGCTGAATGCGTCGAAGAAAGCTCACGGCTCAAGGACCGAAAAATCGAAACCCTGGGGGTCGATGCTACGGTCCCGATACGATACCTGAAAGACCAGAAAGCACCATCGTCTGGGGTCATGCTGACGTGGTTCCTTGCGTAGGTGTTCCCCCTCACGTTCCCGAGCCAAACGTCGTAGCCTGCATCCGCCAACAAGAAGCCTGAAAACGAAGGAGCGAGAACCCATCATACGAGTCTGCGAGAAGGAAAACCCACGACGCCACCACAATGGGAACCCTTGGACATTTCCGGCCCCGGCCATCACCGGACTCACCGAGTCCATTCTCGGGACCGTTGAGAACCCAGCAGGCGGAGGAAGAAAGAAGGCCGTGCTGAAGGAGGATCGGGATCCTCGGTCCCTCTCCCGGCCCACTCAGCCCATACGGGATCCTATGCATGTCTATTATATAACCGTCTGCCGTCGTGATCGTGTGCGTCTCCGAGGGGTACCCGTACTTCGCGATCAGTTCTGGCTGAATCGAACAGTCGTGTCATATAAACGATACGCATAATTGAAACGCGAATTCCGGTAGGAATCCGTGAGCCGGATTCAGCTCTGAAGGCGGAAATTGTCGCCGCCTGTCATTTAAAATCGCCGACAATTGATTTTGAGTGAGTCCAAAGTCCTGCCACCGTTTGGTCGGTGACCGAGAGATCGGATCGCAATCAGGCTCGAATCGTTCTAAAACCAAGAAAGTTCTCGACACGAGACTTCTTACTTCCTTTCGAACAAGATCATCACGAGTCCCGTCGACTTTCGAAGAGATTCAAAGAGATTCCCGTCGATCGACTTTCTCGGTTGAATTTTTGAAAAGGAACTGTCGAGGTGTTCCCGTTGCGTTCTGGCCGAATTCGTTACGAAATTGAACATTTTCTACAAGCCTTCCGTCGGTCAATCATTTTCCTCAGATTCAATCGAATTGGAATGATGGAATGACGGAATGACGGAATGACGGAATTGGAATGATGGAATGACACGGCACGCAAACCGTGCTTTCTGAAGCGGACACGTCAAAAGATTCCTCGAAAAGGAATTTAATTTCAGGAAAAAAATAATAATACGGAAGAGTATCTCTAATTAGAGGATTTTCTTGAATTTCGAATTGTTCGAAATTGGATCTCGATCCACTCCAGCATTCAAAAGTTAAAAACGTGCAAAAGTTGAGCAGGACTTTTGACTCAATACAAACTATTTTTTAGTTGTAAAAACTAATTCTAGCATTTTCGAATGACATGTTTCCTTAAAAAAAAAGGAAAGGAATTAAATATATATATCAATTTTCTTTTCAGTCCTTCAATTTATTCGAAACCTCTCCGGTTAAAATTAGTTTTTCCAGTTTGAAATCTCGAGAATCGACTGGCAATGCCAGGCTGGGTCACGAAAAGCTCGAGGAGCATCAAAGCCATTTGCTGATTCGGTCGGTGAAAATTCGGTCGAGAAATTTGGAGCTTTCTGGACAAAGTCTACAGCCTTAAAAAAAAAAATGAACAAACATCGGTTAACCCTTTCGGTCCTGGCAGGACTCAGGAAGTCGTGCTTTTTTTTGCGCATTTTGCAGGGTTTTAATGGCCTTGAGGCCTGGCACGACCTTGAGGCCGGAGTCGCTGTGGCCTCTATTGAAATTTGCACGTTTTTGGTCCATGATGTTTCATCGTGGACGATTCAACGTATGAAAAATATTTGATGAAATATGAAAAATCATTAAAATTTTTTAATTCGGGACAGAAAGGGTTAAACGAGTCTCTTTTCTCCGATCCTACAAATAGGTGCTTTCTTTCTGACCGTGTCGAGGTCAAGGTCGTCGTCGATCTCCTGGGAGACGCGCGGGGGACCGCGGCGACCGCGAATCCCGCCCGCCGCCTGCAGCGCCTCCAGCGTCTCTCGGACGAACTGCGCCGACTCGCGCGGGTCGGCGTCGCCTCCCAGTCGCTCGCGGATGATCGCGGCGATGTCGTCCTCGAGGACCCGACTGTAAGAGGCGGACGCGAGGCTCAAGAGAGCCAAGGCCAACATCGAGAACTTGCTCATGCTGACTCTCCAATCAGGAATTTTTTTTTTTACCTGCGGAAAACGGATCACATGACACGAAATGAGTGATTTTTCGAAGGCTGATAATTAAAAAAAATGAACATGGACTAATTTCCGGAGCGAGACGATCTCGAGAAACGAAAACAGAAGAGAAAAATGCGACGTCGACAGAGTCCTGAACGGAACAACACAGCAACACGTGCTCGTTTATTTAAAGGGACTACGAGGAAAATACCGCATTTATATCGCACTTTATTTATATCGACTGCGAAGAATCCCACGTGAAAAACGGGAGACGACCAGGTGAGGATGGACCAGATCCGGGAGTCGAGGAAAAAATATTACGCGGATAAGAACGTGTAAAAAAAAATCTTGCCACCCAGAGCATTTGTGCAGTGACGTAAGCACGGAGAGAAACCATGACATAACCGACTGAGGAAGACGGACCTTGCAATTTATGTTCGGAGTCTCTTGTCACTTTCGTGGGACGGTGGCGAGGGATGCCCAATGGATGCCAAATAGATGCTCAATTGATGCCCAATAGATGCTCAATGGATGCCCAATGAGTTCTCGGGCTCATCGTATTGGTTGGAGATTGGTTTCGTTCTGATTTTTCGGCGTAGTTGCCTGAAATGCGTTTTTTTGCGTCGTTCCTGTTGCATCTCTTTGCCGGTCTGAAAGCACTCTCCCGACGACTCGTGGGATTTCGTTTCGCCGCATGCCTCAAATCTGTTTCAACGTGTTTCTCGAGACGTCGGAGCATGCGTCTGGCGACGGGTGAATGTCAATGGGTCCCGTGAATGAGATGGGGCGGCAATTGCAGGGACGCCATTTCATTGAGGGGGACGATTGAAGCATTGCGTGAGCCGGCGCAATCTCGGGCGAGATGAGGACGCCTTCTCTCTCAACTTTCCTCTGCTTTTCTCGGTAGCTCGTTTTTGAAAAGGATTCGCGCAATATCCCCAGCGATGCAGGATGGTACCGACTCGTGACCCCGTTGGGGGGCATACGGTCGACGCGAATGGCTCCGGTCGTCTACCAGATGATCGTCGCGATGACTTTTCCAGCCGAGGCCCGACTCCAAAACTCCCCGGGCGACGGAGAGTCCATAGAGTCCATGTCGCTGCATCGACTGCTGCGGGGATTCGGGGTCGAAGAGGTCGAGCCAGATTCATTCCCGTAGACCGTCAGTGGACGAAAAGTCTGCTGGATCTGCGTTGAACCCGTCCAAAGTCCGTCGACTCATCGCGATCCCGTCGTTGAATGACGACGGACGACGGACGACGTGAGGGGAATCCAGAGGGTACAGACCTTAGACGGTCTCGGCTTTTCGTGCAAGATGTTTTAAACGTTGCCTTTCGAGATACCCAAAGCCTGTACCGTACCTTTTCGAGGCGATTCCCAGGCGAGATCGAGCTAACTAACGAGACTTCGGCCCCCACGCAAGTACTCACGGAACGGTTTGATTAGTGTGATTAGGCGGCTTCTCCGATCGTCCTTTCCCGAGTCGAGATGGAGCAGAACGAGATAGAAAAACTGTTGCCAGAGTATCAACAATTCATTTGACCTGGAACAGAGGGATGTGCTCGGGTTTAACTACAGAGAGTTAGAGGGAAACCTCGACAGACCGTGACAAACAAGTGCAGTCCTTAGCCTTGGAGGAATTCTTCCTTCTGGACATCTTAAGCTCAGCCGCCTATATTACTCCTCTTTCCTCGCTTTTCAATCTCAATCTCCTTTCCGTCTTCTTTCTTTCTTCTCCCCGACAATTACAACCATGTTTCACTCGGACTCTTCCCTTGAATCCCGAGTGCCTTCGTCGAGCTCGGCCGACGAAACACTCTCACTTCTGTCAGATTTATTTTGAAACTAACGATCTTGAGGACCGATTCGAATCGAATACGCCCACGATCGAATGCGCCCACTTCCACGATCGAATACGCCCACTCCCACTCGCCTTTCTCCGTGATTAAAGGAATCGGCGCAGTGCAACCGGAAGTTTCTCTTCTTTCGTTTGTTCCGTGTCGCCGCTGAACGCATCTGTGCTAAAAAAACGATGGGAGGATTGAGCTCATCGCGATGAACGCGCTCGTTTTCTTTCCATTTCCATCAGTTCGTCAGTCTTTTATGTGAAGAGAAAGTCTGCGGAGATGGACTGCTTCACTTGCATGAAGGTGACTTGTAGTCTGATTCGATGGTGTATCTGTCCGGTCCAAGTTTCCTTTTGGTCTTGCTTTAAAGTTTCTCTGGAATATCTTTCGCTCTCGAGTCGTCGTCCATAGAATGGAATGCAACTGAAACTGGCAAGACGGTGTAAACGCCGGGAGGGAAACGAAACCGTCAATATAGGCCAGGAAATCTGGATTCAAAGTTGTCCCACATTCCAGCCCCACAATCGAACGGCAATTTTTCCTTGTCGGCAATTCCAAAGGTCGACCTGGAAAAAGGTCATCTTCGATTGATTGAATTTCGTCCTCGTCGGAATTCAGCGGCCTACTTTCTAACTGTGCTGTAGGAAATTGAATCGTGCTTATGTTACCTATGAACGTTCAGCAGACGTACATGAAGAGTCTGTGGCGATGAGCTTACCTTTGATAGAAACTTCATCACGGATCAGTTCTCAAATTTGTGAAAATCCATCGCATTCAATAATACGACAAAATAACTGCTTCTCGAGCATTAAACCGGGTACAAGCATCAAACTCCGTATAAGAGCGGAGATCTAGTGACGCTATTAGCCTACGCTACTGTATTTTAACCCTTCAAGCGCTGAGTTTGAAATTCCTGTGTATATCCTCAGGCGTATATTAAATGCACAACTAGGAAGGCTTTCACTCGCATTGTACTGTACTTTTTATTATATGCCACACAAATCTCATGAGAGAATGTGGAATAATTTTTCATTTCAACAACATGTTATTCATGGACACCTAACTACGAATATTTTGAAATGCTTTTTTTCGATTCTTTCGAAATTTGATGCTTTTCGAGGAAGAGACTGATTAAATGAAAGTCGAACCTTCCACAGTGTCAAAGACTCATCAATTGTAATATTTTCTGAGGGCTTGTTTGCAGTTTGAAACCTTTCGTTCAGATGTGTTACAACAGGGTGAATTTCGAGCAATTTATTTGAGCCTTGGAAATTCTTCCTCATTTTTAGTTATCCACAAAATGCAGAAACTTTGAAATCAGCTCAAACCTATCCTGCGACTTCACATTTGAACAAATTTGTCTCAAAGTTAGGATTTTTGGTAAAGTAGGATTTGATTTCTGGTTTTTGCACAATTCTCATCATCATGACCAGTGCACACATGACCAGTGTACACATACATCTCATTTCTGTCAACAGCTTTCCATTTCTGTTTTACTCGTCTTAGAAGACTTTGTTCCTCGAAGTGGCAGGAATTTTTGTTTATTTTACACTTCTAAAAGTATCCCAGAGGCGTGCATACTACTGCCAAAGGAAAAAAAAGACTGAACACATAGTCCTTAATGTGCTCTATATGCCGATCGAAACAGAACAAAAATCCGTCCACAGATGACAGAAAAATGTATTTGCAATTAAGTGAATGCGGATAACGCACAGTGTACGAGGATACGCCCTACCGGCAGCTAGTGACTATCGTACGGTGTACGTGAAAACGGCTTGAAGGGTTAAAAGTCAATTGTCGGAGGCAACTAGACCGAGAACTTTTTGGACACCCCTCGTGGATGACGCTCATTCGCTGCTGTGCTTTGGTCGATTCCTGTTGCAATCGTTTTTTCGTAACTCTTCGAGCTAGATATTCTTAGCTGCTATGGGAATTGCCCAGATGGGAGGGAGCGAAACTATACGTTCGTGAAATCTTGCACACCGAATGAAAATCTAATCGCATGCCTGTCACCTCTGGAGAAATGTCCGAATCTCGACAGGAGCATATGTATGTGATTTTTTTGCACTAGAGTCGCTAATTTATTTGTAAAAAATATGGGAATCGTTAAAATTCGAGCAAGTTAGCATTGAGTATCGACCCCTACTCTTGCTGTGTTGGGATTCCAAGATGAGCCAGCTTCCTAGATGTGATTCCTTGTCATGCTTTCCATGATGTCACTCGAGAATGAATGTGACTCACCGGCCTTTCTTTTATAATATCCCAGATTGCTCCTATCCCCCTTCTTCACGTATTTGTATCAAGGCCTTATTCACTAAATTGTCTCTGCACCACCGTATAATGGGTAATATACTGATCCTTACAATATTCAGTGATAGAGTGTGTTCTATTACATCACCAAGTATGAGAGCACTCGAGTGCGTTCCATCATGATGATAAAAAAGCAAAAAGCGGATGGGCATATGACGGAATCGGCGCACTCAGCTGCTGACAAATGCAGATGGGTTAGACTTTGGCACGACGTTCGCTGATATCCAACCCATGGGAATTTCCCCCATGCAAAATTAACTAATATTCTCGTATATGGCTCTTCACGACTCCCATTCCCGAAAGTGCTCCTCGATGACAAACTGGCATCTCACGGGGGACTGCACGATCTCCTCCTCTGTGATGACGATATCCTCGACCCACGCCGAGGTTTACTTTAGTGATTGTCGTTACGTCATTGAATTCCCTCGTGAGCAGAAGCGAAGGATTCCTCATGTATCTCAGCCGTGCCTCCGTTGTCCGCAGCTACATCTTTCCTGTCGTCCCTTAGGGACCAGGTCACTCCTGGCGCTAGCATATTGATAAAAGTCCTTGGGCTTTTTTAACATTGACGGCTGACTGCCCCTCGATATGACTTAATTTCTCTCACTTCGATGACCTCATAGTAAATCGGTATTCCTCGTAGTCCGCTCGATTACATAAGGCACCATGGATGAATTTGGGAGGATCTTTAGCATTCGAGAACTAATAATCTTAATAGCACTTCAATTGAATTTGAATGACCTTTGGCACATTAGTCACTCAACTGATGGTTCCCCTGCAATAGGGCAACAGTGTAGGTTTCGGTTGAACCCTTCCCAC